CCTGCGTGGTCGTGGGTAGGCAGCCCGACGCCCTGGCCGCGCCGCGGGTCTGCCTCCTACCCGGCCCTCGGCAGGCGCCAGACGCCTCCTGCACTGTAGGCAGCCCGACGCCCTGGGCGCGGTGCGGGTCTGCCTACCCGGCCCTCGGCAGGCGCTATGAGCCCTCTCCGATCACCGCCTCTGCCGTTTGTCCAACAGGAGCCCGCCGCCGTCGCCATGTCGGAGGCCGACTGGTCGCACTTCTCGCCGGCCGTGCGCCTGTGCGAGGTGGAGCGGCCGGGCGGCGCCGGCAGCTGCGGCTTCCACCTGTCCAGGACCAAGTGGGACCCGTACCCTTGGGTGAGCGTGGTCGAGGACGCCTCCGCGGCGCAGCGGGCCGGCCTGCAGGTGAGTGGACGCGATACTGGGAGCTCATCAGCTTCACAACACCGCTCATCGCTCGGGTTCTCTCTGTGTTTTCCCTCGGTCTTCAGGTCGGCGACTGCCTCCTCGAGGTGAACGGCGAGGACATCGTCGGGCAGAAGATCGCGGAGGTGGCGGCCCGGGTGCGCACGCGGCCCGACTGCGCGTCCCTGCTCGTCTGGAACTGCGGCGCCGACGAGAGCTGCGACCCGGAGGTACAGTTTGTTTCTTATGGCCGTATGTGCGGTTGTGGGGGGATGTATATATCGGCTACTGACCGAGCGGTCACGATGCGGGCAGGTTGTTCTCGCGCCATTGGCGCCCACGTGCTAACCCAAAGTTACCCCACCAGGAAAACTGCCGTGAGAGCAACTTGACCATAGCCCCATACAAAATTATTCTCTTCATTCACAACCGCTGATTTCAAACCAAACTTGCCACATCGGCTGGAGGGAAAAGATATACCCCCCCCCCCTACCTAGAGTTGGAAATTTTCCGAAAATATGCGAAAAATAACGGAAAACTTTAAAAAATCTGGGAAATTTTTATTTTTCCCGTAAATTTGTCATTTTCCCGGAAATTTTCCAGAAATTTCCTGGAAGTTTTCCGGAAACTTTTCAGGGCTTCCAACCCTACCCCTACCTTCGCAAAAAAATAAATGCCTGTCACTTTTGTGCTTTGCAGTCGCTGTGCTGCGGGCCGATGCCCGTGTCGCTGAAGCGCCTGTCGGCGTGCGTGGGCGCCGTGCTGGGCGCGCTCGAGTGCCCCGTCTGCCTGGACACCATCCCGCCGCCGGCGCACCAGTGCGGCAATGGCCACCTGATGTGCGCCGGGTGCCGCGCGCGCGCCGAGCGCTGCCCCGTGTGCCGCGTGCGGCTGTGCCGAGGCCGCTCGCTGCTCGCCGACCAGGTACTATTTACTACTTGTCGTTGGTTATAAAGGGGTTTTAATTTTTCAGAG